GGTGGAGTCCTCCAGGCTGGCAGGCCTTCTAGCCCTCTGCCAGGAGTGCCCATGGAAATGCCACAGAGAGCTCTGTGAGCCAGAACCTCCCCCTGCATCCCTAGGGCCCTGTCAGCTTCCTGGAATGCTCCAGCTAGGCCAGCCCTGCTTGGAGTTGGAGCCCATAGCACTTTCTTCTCTTCTAGTGCCTTTCCCGAATTAACACTACACATTTATGTTATTTTTAAAGGATGAGGAAAGGGAAAAGAGAAGCCTCATTTTTACACCTGTAAGAAATATAAACCTCAACTCTTTAAGACCTTTCTTGATATATGTAGAAGCTACATTATAAAAGTACATACATAGTAAAGGAGGAATGAAATGAGGTCTGCTAGACCAGGAAAAGCTATGTGTTTTTTTCTTTCAAACTTAGCAAATCTAATCTGAGTCTGGAACTAAGTGTCCCAGCCTAGGCATTCCGAATTGCAGTGGTTATTGCCTTGCCTGATGGTTTTGGCTTACCTAGTAATAGTATTCTGTCAATATGAGTACTTTAAAACATTTTTTAAACTAAATGTTTCAATTCTTTAGATGCCTTGGGTCGCTAGGTAGGTAGAGGGGAGCCATCCTTGCCACCTCAGAGGGAGCTGAGTGATGAGCACACTTTGCTGTCCTGTGCCCTTTGAGCTTGGCCAGGCTGCTTCAAAAAGTCAGCTTGTTGAGGCAGGTCAACAAGACCTCTTTCATGGGAACAGGGTGTTGTAGGCCGGCCGCTTCCCACACCAGTGTCTATTTTAATCTGCCCAGCCCTCCACACCAGCTGAGGCCTGTTCCTAGGTTGTGCAGGAAGTGGCCCACAAAGAGCCCACACTGGCTCCGCGGGGCTGATCTGCAGGTGTTACTGCAGCCCTCTGCCCTCCACTTTCTTCTCCCTCAGCCACATCCAAGGGAAAAGGATGGTGCCCACAGATGGGGTATGTTGTAGACTGCATGGAGGAGGCGTTCCAGGCCTGCTCAACAGCCTCTTCACTCCTCTGCCTCTTTCTTTCCTTCTGTTCAATGTAACTTACCAAGCACTTGCTGGGCCCACCAGAAGGCATGCCCTGAAGACAGGCCTCCTGTTGAGTCAGCAGTTCCTCAGCGAGCCTGAGAAATTTACACAGGGAGCATTTATACATGTCTACCTGGGAATGCCAGAGGCGCTTTGGTGGCACTGGCAGGGGCCTGGCAGGTGTTGTCTGGGGGTTGGAGTCATCTGGGATTTTTAAGCAGCCTAGTGACCTGCCCAGACTTGGGTTTCTAAAGGCAGGTGGGGCAGAGGGTTTAGGAGAGGAGGACCTGGGTCCACAGGAAGGCAGTGCAGCGGGAGCTGGTGGTGGGTGGCCTGGAGGGGTCTAGAGGAGGCGGAGTTGGCAGGATCGGTGGCTGGGAGGACGTGAGGCATATAGGAGTTAGTCACGGAGGGCAGCTCCTCCAGAGGCAGGCAGTGAGTCCACTCTGGTCATTTGCCTTCTCCCCACACTCCAGGGAGAAACTACTTGGTAACTGTTGGAAGGAGGGAGCTGAAATTCAGGAAGGAGGACTGGCTGGGGAAATGTTCTCAGCATCCAGAGGTGGGAGTGGATGAATGTGTTCTGGGGCATTTTGTAGAGCCATGTCTTTTTAAACTCCCTTTAGCAGCAGAACCTTTTGTCATTTGTCCCTAAAAAGAATGTTTTTCGTGTGTTACCCTGTGAGCAGATGGAAGCAAGGGTGTGAGGTTCAAAGCCTCTCTTCCAAAAGCCCCTCAGGTCATGGCAGAACTGGAACAGAGAAGTGCAGATAGCTGATAGATAAGTAACAGCCAGTGTTGTCCATGGTCACGTGGAATGTACGTCAGTACAGGTTTTTTGGAGGGCATTTTGGTAATATCTGTCAAAAATGTAAATATACATAACCTTTGACCCAGAATTCCTACTTCTAGGGAATTATCTTACCAGAATGCTTGCACAAGTACATAAAGATGTAGGTACAAATGTTCATTGTCATTTTGATAAATTGCAAACATTCCAAATACCCATGAACAGCCAAAAAATTTAGCTGGATAATTATATATGTGTCAACATGGAAAGATATCCAAGGTGCATTGTTAAGTGAAAAAAGCAAGAGTCCGAACCATGTGTGGTCACGTTTCTGTTAAGTAACAAAAGTGTGTTTGTATGTTCTAGTCTATTTCAAAGCAGTCCAAAACAGTGCACACCACATATTAACAGAGGTTATCTCTGGGACACAGGATTAAAGGGAATTTCCTTTTGTAAGCCTTGGATGTCTTGTCATTTTTGAATTTTTTCCCTCAAACAGCTATTACTGTCATTTAAAAAAAAATTATGGAGAGATGAAAGCCACTGGAGTTAGTGCATTGGAAGGAGAGACTGCGGGCAAGGGAGGGCTGGGAAGGGCCAGTCCCAGGGCGAGTCAGCTAGGACAGAATGGGGCATGATGCAAGGGGCGCAGAAGTTTTGAGGAGGAAAAAATGGGAAACCAAGTCAGATGCCACGGAGAGGTCAAAAGAAGTGACTGTCAGGGTTGGGAGGAGGTTGGTGTCAGTGCAGCCAGGGGATTCTTTTTGCTTCTAAGTCACCAGTGCTCATGCTGCACAGTTGCTGGCCAGTCTGCATCTGTACTAAAGTACCAACACTTAAAAAAACAAAGAAGATTGGAGCATGATTCTCAGACCCACCCACCTAAACCCTGTGCAGTTTGCCTGTGAGTCTAGTGACACAGATACAAATGTCTGTTGTCCAGGGGAAGGGTGCTCTGAGGATCACCCCTCGCAGTAGTGTTTTTGTCCAAAGGCAGAGTAGGTGGGCCCAAGGTGCCCTGATTTTGCCTTGTTTGTATGATTTTCATCCTCCTTGACCTAGTGGCCTTTTTTCCTTCCTTCTAAAATTGGCTGATGACTAACATTGAACACAAAGCCAGGCCTGTTTAGAGCTTTCTGCCTTTATTCACTCAGCGTTTGGGCCTGTCACTTTTCTTTTGCCTTGAATATTTCACAGTAATCCTGGCTTCGCAGGTGCCCATCTGGTTCAAATAGTGTGTTCTGAATAGCGTCTTTTCCTTGCACCAGGAGTTCAGTGCTATTTACTTCCACCAACTAGGACAGTTGAGCTTCCAGGGGGCCTCCCTGTGGGCTGCGTGGCCCCCTTTCAGCTCAGCTCCCCTCCGGGCAGTTTTTCATACGGTTCCTTTTTTATTATCTGAAGACCATCTCCTTTCCAGAAAGTTCACCAGGCAAAGAATGGGCAACCCTTGACATTTGGGGGTTTTCAGAAATAAACATCTTAAACATGGCCCACTTTTTACTGTCAGAATTAAATTTTCTTTGGGGCCAGGTTATATTTGCTTCAAGAACTAGATTATCTTAAGTTCCTTACAAATTTCTATTATATGTATTTTTTGCTTTTACCATGTCCTTTCAGACTCATATGATATGAATCAGTTTTCTTAAAATTATGTTTTAATTTCAAAACTTCCTTGGGGCTTAAATTCATAACAGTGTGTTAACATGCATGCCATCCAGGTATAATGATTTCAGAAGTCCAGATGGTGTCTGTCCACATGTGTGGATCAGAGCTGAGACTGAAAAGAATTAAAATAAGAGATGTTCCCTGTTTGCTTCCCTCCAAAAGATTTTCGGTCTCATGAATACCAATTACTCCTCCCTAGAAACTGAGATAAGGTACGCCATTAATTGTGTCTCTAAGTTGAGAGCATCAGATAACAACAAGAAGTGTTTGGCTGGCTGTTGGTTCCCTGGAATAAATGACTGGCTCTCCGATCCTGCCTCTGAGTTTAGAGCTGTTGATAAGTAGTGAACAGGCCCTGCTGGCCGTCTGATTTGCTAGGTGTGAGACGTAACCAACCGATGGCTCACCAGGAAAGATGGGTATTCTGTCTGCGTAAGAAGAGAAATGATGAATAATAAACATGAATTAGCACCATCTGGGTTGAAATTTCCCACCAGGGATGAACATTTATTTAAAAAATAAATGATTATTGACGGTTTTTCCCTCTTACGCCTCAATGGCTTATTCCTAGAACAGCTCACCGAATTGGCTTTTAGTGTTTAGTCTCAACTGCTTGTTTTCAAAAGCTCATCCACTTACTACTAACTTTTAAAAAATGTATAGGAGCAACTGGCAAGCTATGTCTTTGATCTTAGGTGAAGGTTTTTGTTCTTGTTTTGTTTTTAATTTGGTAGTGACAGGGGAGCATGGATCCTGCACAGCTAATAATAGCTGTGAGATGAAGCGAATGATCTGCCTTGAAAATGAGCTTGACCTGAAGGCAAGGACTTTGCATGAGTATGGTAGGAGAGAGCCTGTACCTGCTGAAAAATTTCCAGTAGCTTGTAACTAATTTAAAATTTGTGAACAGCTCTGTGGAAATTAGTATTTATGTTAACAGGTTCAAACAAGCATCAAAACACCAGCTAAAATGATCTCTTGCTAATTTTAAAAGTCTCCTGTTTGGCTTGGAAATGGCTCAGATTAGACAAAATGTAGTATTTCAACAAGTTTTTTTTGGCATTTGTCACCTGATGTTGGTATTGGTTCATTCATTTATCCAGCACACATTTATGAACATAGTTGCCAAGCATTCATTCTTTCAACAGATATTTCTTGAGTGCCTGCAGTGTCCTATGCACTGGACCAGGGATGGGGGGACATCTGTGATGAGGCAGACAGTTCCTGCCCTCATAGAATGACAGTTGATTAGACGAAGAGCAGGGAGTCAAAGTGTCTGATCCTGCGAGTGTGCCAGGCACTCGAGTGCTTTGTCTGGTTTACAGATGCCTAAGAAAGAACCTGTCCCTGCCCTCTAGGGGTGTGCACAGCCTAGTCAGGGGACAGACACATAAAACAAAGCATCCTAAAAGATACTGTGGGAGCGACAACTGACTCTGGGGTGTAAAAAGCAGGAAGGCGAGATGTGGAGCCCAGCTGTGAATGCTAACAACTGCCTTCTGCCCCCTGCAGCATGGACAAGGACAGCCCGGACGTCCACCAGGACCTGAATGCCCTCAAAACCAAGTTTCAGGAGATGCGAAAGCTCATCAGCACCATGCCTGGCATCCACCTGAGCCCCGAGCAGCAGCAGCAGCAGCTGCACAGCCTCCGGGAGCAAGTCAGGACCAAGAACGAACTTCTGCAAAAGTACAAGAGTCTCTGCATGTTTGAAATCCCCAAGGAGTAGAGTGAAGCCGACTTACAGGAATACCTGAGAAAGAAGAGGGAAGGCAAAGGTCCCCACCCCAGCACTTCCTTGGAGTGTGGTTCCTTTGGACCCCAGCTCTGAACCTCAGAGCCAACAGGCGCGCTCCTGCTGCCTTGTCAGCGTTGACTGCAGGGAGCTAGTGAAGCAGGCTCCACAGGGGCTTCCTGGCATATATACACATGTCTAGATGCATGGTAACTTAAGTGCCTGCTGGTGGAAGTCAGAATGTTCCTGGAGACTGGGAGGGGGTGGAGGACTCTGCCCTGCCTCTGGGGAGGGGCCATCTGCTGTGTGTGCCACCCCACTGGCAGATCTGAAGGGCGCAGTGGGAAAGGAGGCAGCTTGCCTTTGCTTCCTTCCCTCCCTCTCCTCCACCCCCATACGATCAGAGTGTACCAGGTACATACTGTTCCTGTTAACTGCAGTTTCATGAAACATTTGCATAGAATTCACTGGATCAATTAGGCTTGCACTCATATGGCGTGAATTTAACATGATAAAAGAAGGCTATGAGAGAATGAACATTGTTTTGAAAGGTCACAACGTGGCTTTTTTTCCTGAAACAGTCTGGTTCCTTTTATGTTTGAGTCAGTGAATGGAACTATACCCATGGGGGTGTCAGCTTGGAGCCCTACCAGGCAGCCCCTGCCTCCAGATTCCCTGCCTCCTGCAGGTTCTCTGCCTCTCCTACACGTTCTCCTCACCTCAGCTCCTGTCACCTTTGATTAGTGCCTGAGAATGGCCAAACCACTTCACATCTGCAGTGCTTCCTGGGGCTGGCGAGGTGCTGTCCTTTCTGTGCAGGCTCAGACAAGTTTTCCAGTGAACAGATCTTCCTTCTTCTGGCATTTCAGATTCACATTGCCCTGGTTTAAAAAAGTATTTCCCCCTCTGGCCTTCTCACTCAAGAGTCAGCAACATTTACTGCACTGCAAAGGGTTCGTGATGCACTTTTTGTTCAGAGAAAGGCAGCTCTAAGTGACAGTTCAGATGGTCCCTCAGCCAGGGTGAAGTAGGCTTATAAGTTATACAGTCAAGTTCTAGCTCTTAAATGTTTATAAACGTCCCTCATTCCTCCCCAGCTCCCCTGATTTTTTCCAGATGGAACATTTTATTTGTGTGTTCTCCCTTTGTCAAATTGAGGTAAGAGCAGTTCTTTCCCTTGCCTCTTAAGGATGGGGCGAGAAGTAACTGAATATTGTTTGGGTCCAGAAACGAGCACATAACCTGTGCTGACCAGTTCAGGGGCTTAGCAGCTGCCTGCCAGCTGACCTCGTTGGCAGGAATATTGGTCGGAGATGTTTTTAGCAGAGTTCCAGTGGTGTAGACCTGCAGCCACCTGTCAGCGGCTAGCATATTAGGACTGGGGGATGTGTGAGAAGATCAAGTTTCAGTGGCTTTGGACAGAAAAGCAGACTCTGAATTTAAAGTGGTTGGTCACCTATTAGACTAGTTCTACCTTGGGATTGTTATTTAACTGAATCAGTTATTTTCTTGAAATTTCAGAGCAGTGGGTGAGCCAGTTTTAAGGCTCTGACCAAATACCATGAAACGCAAAGCACATAAAGATACCAGACCATTGGGGTCTTCTTGCAATGCAAGGCTGAAATGGAGAAAGGCTCTTCACAGAGGCAGAGGGAGACAGGACCTTCCCTGTATTCCAGTGTTTTGAATTGTGACATATTTCAAATGTATAATTAAAAGAACTTATGCTTTGCTCTCTGGACGTCATGGTTTTTGTACTAAGAAATTCATAGTAGGGTGGCTCTTGTATAGTGAGAGGAAAATGTTCTCACTTTGCTCAGACACAGAACAAAACCTTTGCTCCTTACCTTCCTCCACCCCAGCACACACACCAGCTACACCAGCGTCAAAGCAGAATGACTCCTCTCCCAGGAACGGCATCTGTCCCCAAGACTAGTTTGTCGGTGGGTCATCCCTGTGCCTGCCTGTGGTCAGCCCCCAGGCTGTCTACTGTTGTGGGGTATGTCCCGTTTGGTGATTTGAGGAGGTTCAGTCCTGTAGGGAGCGGCCCTCACTGAGCAGGGTTGAAATCCCTCCCCAGGACAATGTTGAGTGTCCCTCACAGGGCTGAGCACCCTCTCGAAGCTACCAATTATTTGGATTACTGGGTGGCAGGCGCTTGTGCTAAGTACTTTTCAAACATCACACTTAATCCCCATGCCGGGCGCGTTCTCTGTATTCCTCCATGAAGAATTTGGGCCTTGGCAGGTGTTACCTGCCCAAGGTTGCAGTTACTAGCGGCAGATAGAGGTAGGTCCCACTGAGAGGGAGACAGCAAGGCGGAGAGGGTCGCTGGAGCCCACTTGGAGCACCACCTGAAGTGGGGGCGGGAGGCTGTGGGGATTTTTAACTGTCCCCAGACACTGGATGTGGCAACCCTAGAGGCAGGGGGTGGCACCAGCCAGCTCCCATAGGGGCCTCTCAGCCTTGGTTTCCTTAATTGTGAAAGCAGGCCCTGAGAGACAACCTTCTGTCCCCTGGGTCCACACTGAGTCTAGTGACAAAATGGCCAGGCACAGTTCCAGTGGCCCTTATGCTGATTGGGAAGTAAGAATGTTCTCTCAGAAAATGAGGCCCTTTGTGACTTGGCCTAAAGAAAACTAAGCAGGTTAGATGGCTAGAAAGATCTCAGCTCTAGGGAAGACCCCAAGATCCTTTATATTTGTCCTGGTTTTCCAGGGAGCCATCCCCTGAATAGACAGGCTTGGTCTGCATCTGGAGCTGCTTGGGAGCCTTTTCTCCCGCGGTGGCCGAAGCTATTTTCAGACTGCCAGGGTTATTTTCCCGTTCTGGGGAAGGTGAGTCTAATTCCCCAGAAGCAGAAACCCAGCCTCCTCCCTTGTCTCCGCCCTTCCCCCTCCAGCCATTTCTAAATGCAAAGAAAAACCAATTTTCCATTTTAAATTATTTTATTTTACATTAAAAAACCAACAATAACAACTTTAAAGACCTCTCTCACATACAGTATAAACACCTGGGTAAGATTTTGTTCATGTCCGTGTTGACACCGGAACTACTATTAAAGTGCAAGTTTTATGTTTTGTTTCCCTTTGTGCAATTTCGCTCACACACATGTAAACAAGTCACTTGGCTACGATTTGACCCATACCCTCCTTAGTTTCCGGAGGGCAAGGGTCGTGCCAGCTATCATGGCAACCGGAATCACAGATGAGATAGATAATGCCGCGGTTGTCCTGACCCTCAAGCCGGGCAGGACGGTTTCTTGACGCCTAGCAGTGGCTGACCAACTTCACATCTCCCCTCCCCTCTCTCCTTCCTTAGGTCTTTGTGCCAAACAAGCCCACCCCTTGCTGGGCCCTTGTTCCCCAGCGCGTGGGGGTGGCGGGCGCCAGCGGGAGCATGGGGAGGAGTCCTAGTCTTAGCCAGTTCTCTTTCCTTCCAGAGCAGATGACCGACCCTTCTCCGTTCTGCGGCGCCTCCCCGGGTGGCTGGGAGGGAAGACGCCAGTCCCTGCGCGCTCACGGCCCAGGGCGCACGGGGCTGGCCCGGGCCGTCGGATTTGACTTTTGAACAAAAAAGGTCCTCCTTAGGTTGTGTGGCCGGCGCGGCGGGGGCTCCTAGCTGATGACGCAGCGCTCCTTGTCCTTGGCCTGGCTGCCGCCGTTGGCCTTCTCGCGGATGTACATGAGGTCGCTGTGCACGCTGGGCCTGCGCGCGAAGGGCGCCACTATGCCGAAGGCGTCGCCCAGCTCGCCGCCGCTCCAGCCGCTGCCAACCCGCAGCAGCTTCTTGTTCCGCAGCGCCTTCTTGTGCAGCAAGTCGCAGTACTGCACCGAGACCTTGCGGTGCAGGTCCGGGCTCATCTCGCTCGGCAGCTTGGCCATGGCGAAGAGCGCGCGGAACATCTGGTCCAGGCTGCTGTTCTTCTTGGCCGAGACCTCGAAGTAGGCGCAGCGCTGGGGGTCGTCACCCACCAGCTGCTCGATCTCGCGCTGCTCCACCTCGCGGTAGAAGTCCCGGTCACCCTTGTTGCCGCAGATGACCAGGGGCACGTCCACGTTCTCCTTGGTTTTGTTCTTGAGGCAAGACTTGGTGTCGAGGATCTGCTGCTTGAGCCGCTGCACCTCCTCGAAGGAGTCGCGGTTGTCCAGGCTGAACACCAGGATGAAGACGTCTCCTGCAGGGGCACAGAGTGAACACAGGGAGGAGGTGAGGGCGGCCGCCGGGCGGACAAGTCGGGCCGCCTGACTGGGGACGCGGCACCCGGGCTCCAGCCGCCCGAGCGCGAAGTGCAAACCTCAGCGCGCGGCGGCGGCACCGGCGCTCCCCGGGCCCGCGGGGCTGGGGCTTCCCTCCCGCCCTCCCCGCGGCCCCCAGCCGGGCCCCCGCCTCACCTGTGAGGATGGAGAGGCGCCGCATGGCGGGGAACGGGTGGTTGCCGGACGTGTCGAGGATGTCGAGCTGGTAGACCTCGCCGCGGATGGAGTAGAACTTGCGGTGGAAGTCCTCGATGGTTGGCGTGTAGGCGTCCTCGAAGCGGCCCGTGAGGAAGCGCGTCACGATGGCCGTCTTGCCCACCTTGGACGAGCCAAGGATGACCATGCGGTAGCAGTTCTTGGCCGGGATACTCAGCTCCGAGTCGCTCGGGCACATCTTCTTGATCATCGCAGCCAGTTTCATCGGGCAGAGGGGCCGCGGGGCGGACGCGGGACCGAGAGAAGCGCGAGGCGGCCGGGGGCGCGGGAGCGGCGCGCGGGTGAGCAGCGCGAGGGCTGAGCTCGGGCTCTGCTGTGCTCCGCTGGGGATCGCGATCGGGACGCCTTGGCTCCGCCACGCACAGCTGGCTCTGCCCGCCCAGCCGCCGCCCTTATATTCAGCCTGCGCGGCCGCCCCGCCCCGCGCCCTCCCTGCCCCGGCGCGTCACGCCCCGCGGCGCCCGCCCCTCTCCCCGCCCTCCGGCCGCCCTCACCCTCCGCACCGCGAGGAAACTGAGTCCAGGGCCAGGCGAAGACTGGGCTCGCGCCACTCCGCTCTTCCCTGCACCCGGCCCAGCGGCCTTGGGGTTCCAGTCTGGGCTGTACGTTTGACCCTCTGTGACTTCGGGCACGGACCCCGCCATTCCCGCAACACGCGCGCACGTACCCATCACTCACTTATTTGGTTCGCCGTTTCCCCGAGAGTAACAATGGTAATCCAGTAACAGCAGCAGCGTTTGCTGGTGCTTGCGCGGACCGTATCTCTGTCAGGCCTCAGAACAGACCCCGGCCCAGGCCCGACCCGCTAACGTCCCCAGGCCGGCGCTGGTTCCCGGGGGGCGGCCGCCGGCTGCCGGGGTTTCGGGGCCCAGCGCGGAGGCGGGCGCCGCCCGCTCCGGCCGCCAGAGGGCAGCAGAGGGCCCCGCGGGCGCCGCGCGCTGGGATGGAGTCGAGAGGTTGGAGGTGGGTCGGGTGGCGTCCGGGAGGGATAGAGCACGGGCCTGGGGCGCCCAGCAGGAGCGATCCCACCCCCGCGCTCTGAAGCTCCTTTCTCCCAACCAGCTCCTTTCTCTCTGACCTGGTGGACTCTGCAGTCAGGGGCCGCCCCCTCCTTTTCCTGTCTCTGATCCCTAAAGGCCCAGAGACAGGCCCTCCTCCGTCAGGCCTAGGTCAGGGTCCCTTCCTCCCTGCCCCACAGCATCTTGGGCCTTTACAGGCCCGGGGACCAGCATTCTCATTTCATAGTCGAGGGACCGGCGCTCAAAGCCAGAGTGAGCCCACGAAGGCTCTGGGTGCATAGACAGCTTCTTCCTTTCTGGGCCTGTTTCCTCTTCTGGAGGCTGGTGGTTCTGGTTTCATGACTGTGGATGAGAATGTGTGAACTCTTTAGGAGCCCAGGGCCTGATAATAACAACAACAACAGCAAATGACCCGTGAGGCCTGGCGGGTGCTCGGCAGTGACCAGGCAGGTTAGTAACCAGGAGTGGGCTGGTGCTGCCCAACGCAGTGGGCTGTCTGGTGCCAACTCACCGCAGCCCGGAGCTCAGGGTGCCGAGTTGCTCCTGGCTGCGGCAGGTGAGGTTGTGCTCAGGCTTTCACTTGGGCATGTCTGGTTTTCAAGGTACCCAGGGAGCCATTAGCTGGCGCCACCACCCAGGTTGAGGTGCTGTGGGCAGTGCCGTGGGTGCCAGTGCCCACCTGTCCAGCTGTTTGCGGAGGGCTTGTGGGATCTCGTTCGCCTGAGAAAGGCTCTCAAAGGACATCTCACCCGCCCCTTCCCTGGTGCCCCAGGATTCCAGCCCAATCTCAGGCTGCAGAACAGTGCCAGGGACCCTATGAGCCCAGGAGAATGCTCCTTGCTTGCCAGATTCTGTTCTAAGTGACGCTGCCCTTCCTCCAGGCAACGCTGAGGGGTGGGAACTATTACTCTCTCCATTTTACAGAAGAAGAAACTGAGGCAGAGGGAAGTGACTTGCCTGGGGTCTCAGAGCTAGTTACTCCTGGGGTGGGGCTTGAACCGCAGCCCTCTGGCTCTTAACCACCTACTCTCCTCCGTCCTCTGCCTATGGTCCCCTGTCCCCCAAAGGCGCTTGCTACAGAGTCCCTGCTTCTCTCCCAGGCCTCATGTTTAGTGTCAGATATTTCAAGCACACATGTCGCGTACTGAACACCCAAGGGCTCACTAGCCAGATCTAAGCCACGCCAGTGCCCCTGGCCTGGCTCTGATCCCTGGTGTAATTTATGCAGGAGCCATCTGACAGAACAGCTGGGGCTGGGACCCCACCGTTCTTGGTTCCTGCCCTGTTGATGCTCCCCTCTCTCCCCTCCCCTCCCTCTGCCCCTCCCTCCCCACCTGAGGCAATCTGTGAGAAGGGACTGAGCCCTTGCCCCTACACGGGGCTGCTGTGTATGGTGGTGCGGGGCGGTGGCTGCAGAAAGGGGCCAGCGGAGGATACAAGGGGGCGCCGATCAAGGCAGGGGTCTGCAACACCCGCAGACTGAGTGCCGCCTTCCTCCACCTCCCACAAAGGCCCTGTGTGGGCAGCCGGGCTCTGACTGAGGACGACTTATGGCCAGGGCTGGAGTGAAGGTGGACCCCACGGAGCCGTTCCCTCCAGGCCTCTGGTCCCAGGAGTGTCGGCTTGATACCAAGTAGAGGGCCAGAGGGTGCCAGGGTCAAGGCCCTGAGCCCAGCTCTCCCCACGTGCAGCCCTGCTTCCCGCCACTCCCACCGCCCAGGCCCACAGCCAGCACGGTGTTTCCGTGCGGTCCAGGTTTATAGCGCTGACGTGCTGTTGTGCAACAGGTCATTGTGCTTGCTGTGTTTCGGGTTGAGGCAACAAACAGCGTCTGTGAAGCTATGAGCCTGACTATAAACATTACTCACTTGCAGTGCAGTTGTCCTGCGCAGAATGGAATGGGATGTTTAAAATTTTTGACCAAATGTTGGGGGTGGCCTGGGGGCTGAACAGCTGGCCCCCCAGGCAGGAAATGTTGGCCACACAGGCAGGTCTGGAAGCAAAGAGCATGTAGAAGGCTCTTGAAAGTCGGGTCTGAGGAGAGTGCTGGGCAGCCCCTGGGGCTCTGCCTCGTGGAGTCCTGATTGGAGCCCACACGGGGGCCGGAAGCAGACACTTCCTGGGACAGGTGCTCAGAGTGCCCACGGGCCCAGGTGCCACTGTGCCAACCTGAGCCCATCCCTACCAGCTCCTTGCACAGAAGAGGACCCTGAGGCTCATTTCTGTCCTGTGTGACCTTGGTCCATGGTCTCCTCCTGAAGGGGAAAGGGGCTAGAGCTGGCTTTTCCTTCCCCCTGACAGCTCCCTGTGTCACGCTGAGATCCTAACTGTCCGGTAGGTTCCTCATCAGTGATGAACTCTGTCTCGGTCACAGCAGACCCTTCCAGAAGCCTGCTCAGCCCAAAGCTCCCATGCGTGGGTCAGGATGCATGGTCAGGCTGAGCCAGTAGCATGTCCTGAAAGGCTGTGTGTGCAGAGGTGCTGGTGAAGGAAGTGAGCTCCCCATCCCTAGGGGTATGCAAGCAGAGAGGAGGGATTGAAGCACTGGATAAGATCAGATTAGATGCCTCTCATGGCCCTTCAAGGCCTGAGACAGATTCTGATCCTAGAAACCAAAGAGAAAGCCTTCAGGAGCTCCATGGGCAACGAGGGAGGCGCTCTTGCTGCACGCACAAGGCAGACGTGACTATGATGGCTGTTTTACTGACGAGGGGCTGAGGCTTCAAGGGCTATGTGCACCCGTCTACTGACTGGAACCCAGGGAAAGGTTGCCCCATGTCCTTGGACGGCTTGGCCCTGCAGGGGAAGGCTGGCACCAGGAGGGGGAGGCTGGCCCTGTCTGCAGGGCTCTGTGCTCAGTTTGGCCAGCAAGCCAGGGGGAGGAGGAGTTGGGTCCTGGGCCTGGGTCCTCTCACCCTGTCTAGGAAGCCCTCCTGGGTGGGTCACCCGGCCTCCCTGCTACCAAACAAGAGATGACATCAACCTACATGGTAGTCACGAGACAGCAGTCCATCTGGCCCAGCCCCACCTGTCCCCTTCCTCTCAAGTATTGCTAGTCAAATCTGGGGAGGCAAGTGAGCCCCTCACTGACCCTCCGCCTACCCCCAGCCACAGCACTTTCCCACAGCTGGGCACATGTCAGCTTTCAGGGGTCCCTCAGAGGCTGGAAAGAGGTGGAACATCAGGGATAGGCCAGGCAGCAGGGAGGCAGTGATTCCGTCTCCAAAGCCAGCTCATCTGGGCTGGACCTGGTGGCGAGTAGTTCAGAGCAACACGAGTGTCGTGGCCCAGCATCCTGCAAATGCATTAGTGCCCGGGGGCCCAACCCCTTGACCTGCCCCCTAAGGGCGCCCGTGGCTGACACCCCTTAATCCTTCAGAGCTGCTGCTTTGGGGCACTCTGAGCTTGTTCTCACCCCAGGACCTTTGCACGCGCCATCCCCCATGCCTGCATTTGGGTCTTGGCTCAAACATCACCTCCTCAGAGTCCCCACCTGACCACAGTGGCTAAAACAGATGGCGTTTCCACTACCATGTCTCTTTCAAAACTTTTGGTGTGATGTTTTTCACTGATCATTTTCTGGTTAATACTATTCAAACTGCTGAGTTTTTTCTTAATATTGGGGGAATATTAGTTTGAATCATACAATAATACTGTTTTTATAAGTTAGCAATGGTCAAATACAGTATTGGCAGTTCTATATGGTTCAAGCTGATAGAACTTAGCGATCAACAGTACAGTGCAAAATGGCAAGTTTACAGCTCCAGGAAAGTTCACATGTGCACACCTGTTGGGCAGCACCACAGCAAAGCGCGGGGCATTTCCGGCTCCCAGGGCTCCCTTGGGCCCCCCCAGCCAATGCCCCTCCCCGCAACTAGGCTGCCTCCATCAGCACAGGGGGGCGCTGCCTTTGCGTCGGGTCCGTGAAATCCGTCCACACGCCTCCTTGCTGCAGACAGCACACGGCGCGAACAAGCCATGGTTTGCGTGTCCACTGTCCCGTGGATGGACGCTGCGTGCCCTGTGCTCCTGAGCACTCGTGGCTGGGGAGACCCAGGGTGGAAATGCACCATTTAGCCCCAGTGAAATGAGATCCTGGGCCCAGGATCTTCGTAAATGTCCCGTCAGGCCCATGGCCTTGGAGCACTGGGCGTCAGGGGAGGGCCGGCCTCGGACACTGTCCTGTGCAGCCCCTGAGCTCGACTGAGGAGCCCAGGAGCCAGACGAGGGCAGTGACTCGCCTGAGGTCACAGATGGATGGGGGGGGGCTGGAACAGGCACAGGCCCCTCCCTATGGAACCCCAAACCCCACAGGGCCTTTGGGGGGGTCCCTCGCTGGCCTTCAGGGCCAACAGAGAGACCTTGAGGGGGGTGCTGGCCAAGACTGAAGGGCTGAGGACCTCTAGTACCACCGGGACGGTGACCCCGAAGAACACAAGCTTAGGAGTCCCTGACCTGCCCCAGTCAGGGTCCAGGATCCTGGGGGCGAGGTGTGGCCCAGCCGCCAGCAGCAGAGCCGGGGTCAGCATGGGTGCTGCCAGGAGCAGAGGGGCTCTCCTCTGCCCACCTCTGGAGCCCCAGCGGCAGCCCCTGACCCCACACTCCTGGTCGCCGCCTGGCACGTGCTCCACCTCCTCCAGATGGACCCCACTCTCTCATGGCCCACCTGTCACCCCCTCCGACAGCAGCTCCTGGGGACACATAGGGTGCCCACTGCATGTCCAGCCACCGGGTGGCATGAGGCCGTTCGTCCAGCAGCTCTTAGGGAACGACAGTGTCACTGCCCAACATAGCCTGGGTGGCCAAGGACAACATGACAACACATCTCCACCCTCATGTTGGCCAACACTGGGCTGGATCCCCCAGGGGAAGAGGCAGCAGAGGGGTGTCCTGGGAGTGCTAGAGCAGAGGGTAAGGGCAGATGACATAGGACACCAAGCCTCCTGAGAGGGAAGCGGTGGCCACAGCCAGGCGAGTCACTGGTGCCTTCTGGGTAAGTCCCTTGTGGACGGTGGAGCCCACCCCTCAGCACTGTGAGGTTTCAGCGTGAGTCAGGGCCGGGCCTGCCTCGCATAGCCCTTGGGGACAGCCCCTCCCCTACCCCGCTCTTCCCCAGGGACAGAAAGATGCCTGGAGGGGATGCTGGGGTCAGGGTGCCTTTATTGGGGAATGGGGACATAGTGGGGCAGCAGGGCAGGGGTGGGGCTCGGTGGCCACAGGGCGGCATGTCCAGGGCCCCCAAGGCAGATTTCAAGGCACTGGAGCAGCCCGTGCCGGGCGTGAACCCCGAGCAGCAGCCGGATGTTGTTCTCCCCCAGGCAGGGCCTGGCCCCTGGTCAGCTTCTCCTGCGCTGCCTGCAGGCTTTCTGCCGGTAGATCTCGGTGGTGAAGGGCCTGCAGGGCAGGGCAGAGGCTTCGGTCAGCAGGTCCTGGGGTCAGCAGGTCCTGGTGCGGGCCCCTCCCAGCACCAGAGCCCTGTCCCAGGCCCCGCCCCTGCCAGAGCACAGACCGCCCCCCCCCCCCAACCAGGGCGAGGGTATCTGGTTGAGGCAGATCCTTCATCCGCAGAGCAGAGCTGCTGGAGCGGGAGGGACTTGGAGCATTCAGACAGCAGGAGGGGAGTGGGGAGGGGCCTGGCCAGGGCTGGGTCTCACAGGCCCCACGTGTGTCCACTCCAAGCTTCTGCCGCCTCTGACCTGTGACCCTGGCATGGCCTGGCTGACAGCAGCCCAGCTGAGGCCACCCTGGCCACAGGGAGAGGTTCTAAAGGGAGAGGCAGCCACACCCCCACCCCATGACAGCCCCTACTTACTCCTCGTACAGGACTGCAACCACATAGGTGAGGGCCACTACCACAGTCAGCAGCAGGCCCGTGGGGCTGGCGTGCCTGGGGAGACAGGTGCAGGTCAGGGGCCTGCATGGAGCCAGGGGCCTCTCGGGGCCACTGCCCACCCGCCCGGCCCCCTCCAGCCAACGTAGGGGCCACTTGGGCCAGTGGAGCCAAGCTGGGCAGTGCTCCTTCCTGATCCCGGCGTCTTAGCAAGAACCAGGGTCCCCATGTCCAGGTCCTGATCCATTTACCATCTCATCTTCTGCCTGTCCTGCCTGGCTGGGTCACCCAGGGTGGGGCCTGCTCACTTTGTCCCGGTCTCCAGCCCCAGCCCAGAGCTCAGGACACAGGAGGAGTGAAAGAGGGAAGGAAGGAATGATTGGCCTCTTGGAATAGGCCCAGTGGCTGAGCCTGTTCTTTTCTACACAGGATGTTCGGGGGCAGAAATTCTTCTCCCTGGCCCCCAGGGACGATGTTCCTAGGAGAGAAGACTGTTTCCACACCTGCGTTCCTGGCTCGCGAAGCCTGGGCACAGGGCGTAGGGTACAGGGCGCAAGGCCTCCTGGAGCCCCTGGCAGCCCTGGCAGTGTGGGGCAGGCCTGAGGCTGGACAGAGCATCCGCCGTGGGCTATCTGCCGGTGACCAGCTTCTGACCCCGCTGTGCCAGCGAGCACCAGCAGCTCGTTAGTGACGGCACTGAGGAGTCCGAGTGTATCTGCCCCAGGTTTCCAGAAATAGCTGCTGTCCAGCTGTCCCCCGATCCATTTCTATAGTTACCTCTGATCCCACTGGCTCCCACAGGGGCTGGATTGCTACGTCTACAGTCTACATCAGCTGGGAGGAGGGAGGGAGGGAGCCGGCGAGCGGACACAGAGGGTGCACGGGCAGGCCTGGGGCGTGTGGGCCCCCTCAGCTGCCCCCGGCCCTGCCTCTGCACCACGCTGCCCCTTCCCCAGCCAGACCCATGCAGGAGCCCCAGGCGGTGGGGGGGGACCAAGGGAGGGAGTCTCAAGGACACCTGGGAACTCTGCAGGGCCCCTTGGCCCTGCCTACTCCCTTCCATCCCCAGGACCTCACATTGGCCGGTCTGGGAGCTCCAGGAGGAGGCAGGACAGACGTGGGGACAGCAAAGGCCCAAGCTCCAGCCCCAGACCTGCTGTCCAGCAGCGACTTTGCTGTGGGTGCCAAGGGGGGCAGGACCCCCCCACAACGCAAAGCAGGAGGCCCCCCTGCCTCTCACAGCCTGGCCGTGACCTCTGCCGTTGGCCCCCGAGCACCAGGCTCACTGCCGCGGAGGCCTGCCTGGGTGCTCGGGCTCCAGGAAGGCCCATCCCTGGGGCTCTGGCAGGTGGGAGCCAGATGGGCTGTGGGACGCCCGGGAGGGGCCCTGCTGGGTCAGCGTCTAGCCAGGTAATGGCCGTCTCTAATGAGCGCTCAGACCAGGGTGCCATCCGCCGCACACCACATGGCCGACGCCCTCCAGAGGGGGCTTGATGGTGTCACATGTTCCCAGCAGCTGTGACCTGGCAGCCCTGAGCCCAGGGCGACTGTCACTCTTGGGCGCCAGGCACTGCTGGGGACACAGAGGGGACCCATTTGTGGGGTCTGCCCTCGAAGAGATGAGAACCACTGAGGATGGGAGACCAGGGGGGCTTCCTGGAGGAAGAGACATCTCAAGTTGGGTTTACAAAGACAAGGGGTGGATGTGGGAGGGTTCCAGGCAGAGGGAGAGGCCCCATGTGCTGGCCACAGGAGGACCTGGCTGGAGGGATTTCAGTTTGGTTTGGTCCTGGGTGGGGCTGCTCCGTGGAGCAGGTGAGTCTGGGACACATGGTCTGCGCCCCCCCACATCCAGGCTGGAGGGGCCAGGCTGGAAGGCAGCAGAAGGGACAGTTCACAGGCTGAGCTCCCAGGGTTGGGGACTCCTGGCCTAGATGTGGGGTGGGGCAGGGAGGGTCCCAACCAGACCCCTAAGTCCCTCAAACCCAGCTGCTCTGGTCCTAGGGCAGCCATGAGTGTCCCAGCAGGGGGGGCGGGGGGCGGGGAGGGCGTGTATCTTGCTCCCAACATTCCACCATCTCAGCGTCACTCCTCTCTGGGGTCCTGCGACCCTTCTGGTCTGTGGGAGCACCTGTAACGTTCTAGGCGAGTGGTTTCCAAGTGTTACGTAAAAGTGGCAGAACACTTTCTACCAAAAAACCTATGGAAGAAAGTGGCTAAACTAGAACTGTCACAGTGGGGGACACGGTAGGGGACATGGTGTGATGCCCAGGGCAGCTCCCTTGTGCTGTTCTCCTTCACCGCAGGGTCTCTGGCCCTGGGGGCACATCCCCGACACCCAGCCGAGGCCGACAGCAGTCCCGAGCCCACTCCCTCACAGCACTGGGGGCCCCTGGCGGGGTGCAGCATCTGCAACACCGCCATGCTGCTCAGACCAGCTCCCCAATAGGTTGGAGGCCACCAGGGCCAGAGTGGGGGGGCGGTTCGCTCGTCTGGGACTCGCTCCAGGCCCCGGGGCAGCAGACGCTCCCAGCAGACGCTCGGGGCTCTCCCAGCCCTGATGTTCCCCGCACAGGGGTCGGCCGAGAGTGCTTTTTACATTTTTAAATGGTTAAAAGAAAAAAATTCAAAAGAATATTACTCCACACGTGGAAATGATCTGAACTTCAAATTTCAGTGCTCATAAATGGAGTTGCCCTGGCGCACGGGCAGGGGCCTCTGCCGTCCTGCGTCTGTGGCTGCTTTCGCACTACGGGAGCAGAGCTAGCGCGGCTGTGACCTGCCTACGGGCCTTGGGCCTGAACTCCCTGGCCCTTTAAGAGCGCGCCTGCCAGCCCCCGTCCTGAGATGCCGTTTCTGTCAACACAGATAAACCCCTGAGCAGTGGAAGCCCGATGCCCTTGGCCTCCATGAACGCCATGTTCTTCCTTTCCCCTCTCCCGGGCCCAGCCCTAGTCCCCCGGGTGGCAGCCAGCAGGGCAGTGTGCGGCCTGTGCTCACACGATGGCACAGCCCAGGTAGTTGGCTGTGCTTCCCCAGTACATGGGGTTGTCCAGGATGTTGAAGGGGAACGTGGTCACTCTTGCCTCCTTGAGGATCCCGAAGTAATCACCTGTGGACAAGGCAGGGCAGGACAGGAGAGTCACTCAGCCACTCGTCCTCCATGGCCACACGATTGCTGAGGGAGGGCCCCAGCATGGGCCCGGCCCTCCCTGAGCTCCAGGACAGTGGGGCAGGATCACCAGCATATAGTCAGAGGGCACCCAGTAGGCACGCAGATGCCTTGAGGGGGGCGTGGGTCCCACCCCCTGCTACCACCTGCTCCTGTCCTCTTGCTCTCTGGGCTCCAGCCACACTGGCCTTCCTCCGCTTCCTGCCTCTGCACCTTTGCACACGCTGTTCCCTCACTTGCAGTGCCTTTCCCTGCCCTCCGTACAGAGAGCTCCTCTCCTCCTTGGGCATCTCTCCCTCTGCTCATGCTGTGTCCTTAGGAGACCCTTCCAACCCTCAGCAAATGCAGCCTGCCTGCCTGTCACTCTCCCTTCCCCGTGCCCCTGCTCCTTGCCCCAGTGAGTTCCTCTCCCTCTGGGGACCTAGGCCTCCCCCTTGGGATAGCTGGTGGCTTGGGGCTGCTCCCTGGTGGCTTGGGGCTGCTCCGCACCTCAGGCTGTGTGGCCCTGGCTCCAAGGCCTGCCTGCCACATGCCTCCCGTCACTCTGGGAGGTCAGTCCTGGTATCACTGATTTCCCACCTGGCAGCCCGGAGGAGCTGGACACGGTGGAGAGAGTGTGGCCATCAGACAGCTGATTCCAGACAGGCCAGCTGTCCGTCCAGCTGCCCCACGGTCACAAGCCCCCCTGAAGGGTTGCTCTGAATAGCCAAGGGGTCACGGATACACAGTGTCTGGCACAGGCCCACACTCGGAGACTGTCACCATGGGCATGGTGTAACTGTTCAACAAAGGATGCTACCGCACCCTTCCCAGGCGTCCTCTCCCCAGAAACCCCTCATCTGTCCCTCCTCTGGGAGAATAATGGAGCTTCATCAGAGGTGGAAAGTAGGGCAGCCACCCAACAACAGGAAGAACATGCAGGGGGGCTGCATCACTGTCTGGGACAAAAGGGGCAGGGGCCTACAGGCCACCCAGGGCCCCAGGAGACTCTTTCTTCCCCAGAAGCAGGAAATGGGGCGCAGGGCTTGGGGGCGGGTGGCACAGAAACCTGATTTGGGCTGACTCACAGCATGATGTGGCCCCATTGCCCTACATCTAACATGCTTCCAGGCGGGGTCTGCAGGGGGCCCTGAGGCTACAGTCCCTGGCACTGGTGGGCTCTCCCCACTCTGCCTACAGCCCTGAGTCAGCCCCACCGAACCCTGCCCGCTGGGGGCCTCCTCCCCACGGCGTCCCTCCCTGCCGCTTCACCACTCAGGTGCAGCTCCCTGAGCCACACCTCTGGTCCTGGCCCCATCAGTCCAGCCTCGTCACGGCTGGGACGCTCCATGGCTCCCACCTCCCCAGGAACGAAGCCTCAGGCCCATGCCTGGCCTCCAGCCGTGCTACAGCCTCTGTCCAGCCTCGGCCTCATGGCTCCTGTGCTCCAGGCCTTTGCCTCCTTCCCACCCGCCGCCCCCCCCACCCGTCCTGACTGGCAGATCTAGGAGCTCCTGATGGCCCCTTCCCAGACCAGCTCCTGCCCAGGCACAAAGCATTGAACCACCTGCGGGTGCCCTGTGGCTGTGGGCACAGCACGGCCCCAGCAAGGCCTGGCCACAGGGTGGTCCAGAATGCTGAACCCTTAAGTGCCCCTTTCTCCCTCAGGGGACCACTGCTCACCACCTCGCCTGTCCATGCAAACAGGGCCCAAGGGCCTTCTGCAAGGGGGAGCTGGGCACAGGAGGCCCTGTGACTGCCTTGAGCCCCTCAGGGCCAGGGCCAGGAGGCAGAAGCTCAGTGCCCTGGAGTTAGAGGAGCTGTCAGGGCCCAGCCTCCTTTTCTAACCATGGACAAACGAGGCCTGGAGAAGGGAAGATGCCCCAACCGAGCCCAGGGTCGGGGGTGGAGCCAGGAGACAGCCCCCAGCGCTCCCCACTGGGTGACTCGGATGTCAGGGCAGCAGCCCCGGGCCCTGCTCCTCCCGTGGACCCCAAGCTCCTGCTCAAGTCACCCCAGCCCTTGGTGTCTTACCTAGGAAGGTTCCAGTGAACCCCAGAGCGAAGCAGCTGGACAGCGCAAACACGATGCCCACTCCCAGGAGTGCGAGGCCCAGGCCGTAGGCCGTGGGATGATCCAGGCCCTCTGCTCTGGGCTGGCGCAGCATGGCCTGCATGAAGCTGTGGGCAGAGAAGGGAGAGACAGACCGTCACTGCGCGGGAGGCCACCCAGGGCACCAGACAGTGGCTCTGGGCTGCAGCTCAGTGCCACGGGGACAGGCAGGGACGGGAGTGAGTGAAGCAGCTGCAGGTGGGGCCCAGGTGCTGCCACCTGGGCAGCACTGTCCTGCCCTTGTTGCCACCAGGGAGGTGACAGGAATAGGGAGGGGCCCAGATCTGCCAGATTTTTTAATATTTCAAGAGAAGCCAGACGTCCTGACTTGCATGCCCAGGCCTGGGCGTGCTCTGTGCTGCACCTCAGCTTCCACGGCCGCTGCAGGCCTGGCCATATCCTGAGCACTGACGTGAGTTTTAAGGCACTTCAGAGGTCTCTTTGTGTCCTCCTCCACATCCCATTAGGCTCCCTTGGGGCCAAGCCATTGACCAAAAGTGGGGCCACTCTGATAGCACAATCATGGGTTTGGGGGCTCAGGCTCTCTGGTTGGCTCCTGAAGCCTAGAAGGCCTGGTGCAGGTAGGACAGCGGGACCGGCACGTGGTAACGGGCCTGGGCAGCAGACGAGGGCACGCTCAGAGGAGAGGATGTGTGTGGGAGGAGTGCCCGCACATACCAAACACGCATTTCCCGCTCCCCACAATCACAGCACTCAGGAGAGACATGGAGATCTGCTCCCTCCTGCAGGGCAACTATTAACACTTACACTCATTCTGTACCAGGCACCTCCCAGCAAGGGCAGCTCACCACCCACCCAACCACCCACCCACCTACCAACCTACCCATCCCTCCTTCCATCCATCAATCTATCCTCTATCCCCACAGAACCACCCAGCCAGCCAGCCAGCCATTCATCCATCCATCACAAACTCTCTGTTTGCCAGGCTCTTTCAAACAGATCAAATTCACCATTTCACTCGCTCACTCCACTAGTAAACTCAGATTGTTGTAAAACTATCCTCATGTTGAGCTAAAGACGTACAGACATATCCTTCTGCCTCCCTAAAACTTTTTTTTTTTTTTTTGAGACAGAGTCTCACTCTTTTGCCCAAGCTAGAGTGAGTGCCGTGGCGTCAGCCTAGCTCACAGCAACCTCAAACTCCTGGGCTCAAGGGATCCTCCTGCCTCAGCCTCCTGAGTAGCTGTCTCACTCTTTTGCCCAAGCTAGAGTGAGTGCCGTGGCGTCAGCCTAGCTCACAGCAACCTCAAACTCCTGGGCTCAAGGGATCCTCCTGCCTCAGCCTCCTGAGTAGCTGGGACTACAGGCATGCACCACCATGCTCGGCTAATTTTTTTCTATATATTTTTAGCTGGCCGATTAATTTCTTTCTGTTTTTAGTAGAGACTGGGTCTTGCTCTTGCTCAGGCTGGTCTCGAACTCCTGAGCTCAAGCAATCCGCCCGCCTTGGCCTCCCAGAGTGCTAGGATTACAGGCGTGAGCCACCGCGCCCGGCCCCTAGAACTCTTTTTTACAACTAGACCCTCAGCTCCTGGGAACAGAGCTGCTCTCCTTCCCCAGCACCTGGCCCGCAGGACTGGTGTCTCACGCATGTTCATCACCTGACAGACAGCAGCGGCTGCTTCAGCCACCTCGTCCCAGCCCCAGAGTGGAGAAGGGGGTCAGAGAGGAAGGTGGGGGAAGGGCCTGCAGACAAACAGCCAACGGGCCGTGGGCAGAGGCCTGCATGGCGACCTGTCAAACAGCAGCATATATGTGTCAGGGCAAACCCGGCCTCCAGTCACACTGCCCACACTCCTAGCGCTCCACTCCCCACCTCCCTTCCTTGCTTCTTGTCCTCAGCTCAGGGTCACCTGCAGCTCTAGGCCGAGCCGCTGGGCCTGGCTCAGGGTCTCAGGCTGCCATGGAGCCAGGTGGCGTCATGCACACCCAGCGCTGTGCCTCTGGGCGGCCCTGTGACCCTCTACCCTGCAGACCCTGCTGCTGAGGCCAGCGAGCTTTGGCACGGAGCTTCGGCACCCCCACTCTGTCTGCAGGTCGCGGGGAGGGGACGGTGCAGCCCACCTGCAGGGACCTGGCTCCTTGGCTACCCCTGGGCTGGGGAGCAGGCAGCAGAAAGTGTGTGTAGATGGACAAGAGGAGGAAGAGCAGGTCTGCAGGCCTTCAGGCCGGGACACAGAGCAGGCTGGGGAATGGCGGGAAGGAGCCTGCAGAGCAGAGGCCTCCGCAGCCCGGCAGAGTGAACGTACTCCGAGTGCTGTGGGAAGGCGGAAAGGGAGACCAGTCAGGCCACTGGAATAGTCGTAACAGTGGGTGGGCACTGGGGCCAGGGCCGGCCTGAGCAGGCCGCAGGGTCGCTCTGTCACTATCGCCCCCTCCTGCCCCAGGGGCAGAGACATGGGCCAAGGCCCACTGCCCAGCCTCCAGTTCAGGCTGCGAGCAGCCACCTTGAAGGTGCCTCGGCCAGAGTCCACCTGCATCGCTTGAGCAGGCAGCAGGTGAAAGGAAACCTCGCTCCCACGCGGCCGAGCCTGCAGCCCAGCGCACTGCAGCCCAGCTTCCTGGGGGCACGGCTTAGTAGGAAAAGTCATCTGGTTGGAAGCAGATTCCTGATGAGGGGCAGATCTGGGGCCAGGGATGGGGCCGAAGAGGCCCCAACTGGGGCTGTTTGGCTGCCCCAGACCTGGCCCCAGCTCCAGACTGTCCCCCAACCCGTGGCTCCAGCCTGGGCTGGCCCATCTTTTCCAATCCTTTCTCTGCGATGGGCCGCTGGCCCCTTTGTGTCGTCTGCTCCAAGGGGCAGCAGAGATGGCAGGCTGGCTCCTCCCCGATGTTCGGGCCACGTCCCCTCCGCCGCAGTACACCCTGTGACTCCCGACTCCAGGTTTACCGGAATCGCTCAGACCAATTAGGCGATCGGCGATGTCCTAGCCCCTCCATTAAGCCAGGAAGGCACAGTCCATTCCACAGGGAACACGAGCGGAGGGACAAGCAGCTCTGGGACGCCAGCTCCCAGACAGAATGAGGCAGCGGGAGGCCATTTCCCTTGGAAATACTCTGCGCTGGAGGGGGAGGGGAGATGCGTTCATTTGCCTCCGGGTCTTTAAGACTTGAATTGAGCTTCAGTCACCAGCTCTGCCCTGAATCATGGAAACCCTGGGTGGAGGTGGGGAGGGGCACTGCTGTCCACACTGTCCCTGCCCCGCCCCCAGCTGGGGGTCCTGGGCACACACAGCCATGGCCCACAGCCCCCACCATGCCTGCCCAACCAGAAGCACTGCCAGACTCCGTCGTCCGAGGGCATCTCCACGACCCTGTCCTCGCCCGGTGCAGCCTGAACCGTCACGCACACTCGCCTCGCCTCGAGCCTCCACTCCCTGCTCTTTACGTTTCAACTCAGAATAAGTAGTTCTCTCGGTGAAATTAGTCGTCTGATGGGCTTATTTTTTTCTAATATGTACTAAAATAAACCGGTAACTACTAAAACAACAAAAAAAGTTCATCTGTGTAACTCTTCCAAAATCATCAAGGGACTTGAATTTAGGGCCACGATGCCTCACTAATTCTGTGCATTTGAATAACGCATCACCTTTTCAAAGTGTTTCCAAAACCCATTGACAGCCGAGAGAGTCTGTCTCCTTTTATAAACAAGGAAACCGATGGGTTGGAGGCAGGACGGGGCAGGAGCCCGGGCCAGTATCTTCTCCTGCCTGCCGGGACCTGGGAACAGCAGCGAAGGACAAGGTGCAGTGCCCTCTGCTGTGGCCCTCGGGACCTGGATCTCAGGCTGACACCCTCCCTCCCTGACTTGGGGTAAGAGGGCAGCCCCTCCAGGTGTGTGCGGGGGCAGGAGGGATGCCTCTCCCGCCTTGCCAGCTGCAGAGCCTTGGCCACCAGACTGGCAGGGGAAAACCTGCTCCACCCACCTGGCCCCCTCTGGCTCACCCCTGCTGAACTGAAGCCCACTCTGCCCTCTTCCCCAGACCCACAGCTGGGCCCCTTTTGCCGCCTGAAGCCCAGCCCTGATTCCCTTCCCAGTTCTCCAGCCATGCCTGCGCTGAGGACTCAGGCCTTTGCTCCCCAAGGTCCCGATGTGGCCCTGCCACAGCTCCCTGGGACACGCAGGGGAGGGCAGGACTCCAGGCATCAGGGTGAACCCTCACCCTTACCTCTGACCCATTGCCCCCTCCCTGCCTGCTGTGCAGCTCCTCCTTACTCCTGCCCGCCTCTGCCCAAAGCACTCTTCACACACACACACACACACACACACACACACACACACACACACACACACACACACCCCGCATGCTTTGAATCCTACCTCTAACCAGCGCTTCTCTCCCTCCGATATGGCCCGGCCCAGGGAGAGTGCAGGATGCCCTCCCCCGAGGGCTTGCACAGATGGAATTCAGGTCCCAATGGGTTGACCCTGAGTCAATCAGATCAGGGATGGCCCTGAGTGGGCCTTTCAAATAGGGTCTGCAGGCCAGAGAGACTGGAGCAGCAGAGGCATCTCCTGCCATGGGGATGGCCACATGGAGTAAGGGCAGCCCCAGGACCGGGGCCTGCGGGAACTGCATCTTGCCAGCAAGCTGCCAGCCAGCGTGGAAGAGGACCACACACCTCCCGACCCTGCAGAACCCCCGACCCTGCAGACCCGGCAACACCTTGACTTTAGCCTGGGGAAGCCCTGAGCAAAGACCCCACCCCATGGACCTAAAATTGCCACATAGTAAGTTTGTGTGGTTTTAAGCTGCTAAGTTAGTTGGAATTTGTTATGAAGCAGTAAAAAACTAACACGCTTTCCTTCCCAGTCCACAGAAATCCTATCTGCTCTGTAAAAATCCAGACCTGTTCTGCCAAAACTAAAGGAGTGACTTTTTTATGGCTATGCTGACCTGCAAGTGCCCAAACTCCCTCCCATTGCTCTGACTGTCCCCTCTGCAGCAAGCTGTCCCCTCTACACTCTTCCTCTCCCTACTTTGTGCAGCCACTCAGCCACCAGGCTGTCCCGACTACATCCCAGAGCAGCTCCAGCTGAGCACTGGCATGTAGCAGTGACCAGGACACATGGTGCAGGGACAGATGGCCACATGTGGGCTGATATCCTCCAGGGCTGGCCGCTTCAGAACCCCTGGGGAGCTTTTGAAAACACAGACTTCAGGTGGGGGGGACAGGGTTCTCAAGTGAGTTTGGTGTGGCACAGGGCTGCGCCTGCCCCACGGCAACTGGTGCACAGAACAGTGAGGAGGTGTGCTCCCACCCACCTGCCCTCAGCCCGCGGGGAGCACCTCCATGTCCAGGATGGTGCCTGATTGGGGGTCACTACACTGGAGCACACCAGAGCTTCTGAACCCCACAGATACCTGAGGGTCAGGCTCAGTGGACCCAGAGGGAGCCCCGGGGCCACATTTCCAACAAGCCCCTAGCGGTTCTGCTGTGCACTGGAATACAGCTCCTTCAAGTGACTGGTGAGCTGCACTGGAGCCTCCCCGATGCCCCAACAACCTCAGCTATGTCCCCTCCCGCGGCTGCTGTCAGGCGGGAGGAAGGGCTGCAGTCCTGAGGAGCCCACCGCGCCCTGCCTGGGGGCCCTCACTGCACCCCTCACCGCTCATTAGAGGGCAGCAGCCCCGGCTGAGCCTGGCCGTGCTAGGGAGCGGCTGTGGGGAAGGGGTTTGGACAGATGCCCCAGAGCCCATCAGCCCCCGTGCCGGTCCACAGCCAGAGCAGACAGCTCTGTGCTAATTGCCCACTCGGGTCTGGGCGTAGCACCGTGCGCCTCCCGGTAAGGAGCCGGCTCATCCTGCCCGGGGCCTCTCAGACCACCTCTGGGTGCACAGCTGGTGCAGACCAGCTGACAGTGGCCTACTCTCGCGCCCCTTGGGAGATGTCAGCGGCTGCCGAGTCCTGGCCTCACACCTGCCAGGCCAGCTGCTGAATGCTCTCTTGGACACCCCTGGCCATGACCCGGACTTGGGATTCAAACTTGTGCACGTGTTTTCTGCCCACCACCCCGACTTCTGCTGGGCACAGAGAGACTTGTGAACACAGTCCCCAACCCCCCAGAGCTGCGGTCTTACAGGGAGGTAAGAACAACACAGGCAAATCCCTAGGGAAAGAAGGCAGACTAGTATCTACCAGGGGCTGGGGGCAGGGATGGTGGTGGCTGCATCGTGGGTTCAGGGTAACGAAAAAGTGCTGGAACTAGACAGGAGTGGTGGCTGCACAACACTGGGAATGTACTAAATGTCACTGAATTGTAAACCTTAAAATGGTTAAAAGGGCTAATTTTATGTTATGTGTAATTTTACAACATAACATTTGGAGTGATGTCTGGGAAGGGCGGGGGGCGGGGACCTAAGGCTGCAGCAGGAGCTGGTCCTGGGGGGTCCTCTCACCAGCCCCTCCGCAAAGCCCATCTGCCCCCATTGTCCCCAGCCCAGGCTCACAGTGGCTGCGTGGATGGGATGGGACAGGGCTGAGGAGGGGGCCAGGCAAGGGGAGGGGGGGAGGAGAGGACACATGCCAGTGCACAGGGGCACAACGGCTGCCTTTTCATCCAAAGGGTAAGAAGAGAAAGCCAGTCCTGCGGCTGCCCGTGACCATCCCTTCTCTCCTCCCTAAAATCTCCTAGGGTGTCCAGACCAGAAAGAGAGAAGTCACGGACCTGCTGGCCAGGCAGACACAATGTGGAAAGGTCTGGGGAGTAAGCACAGTCAAGAGCCACCGTCTATGAGAAGCTGGACACATATCACTTCCTCCCAGGAGGCCTCCCAAGGGCCCAGGACCTGCTGGGCTGTGGGGGCCCATCCTCCTGTCTCTGCCACATGCACAGCACTGGGCCAGGCCCTGGAGGAGGAAGGGGACCCTGCTGGGGACCAGGCACCAGGGGCAGGCCCTCTACTCTCTGCCTCCCACTGGCATCTGTGCAGGAGAGGGAGCCGGAGTCAGGCCCGGCAGTCCCGTCCTTACCCACTCCTGCTGCCCCTATCCCCCTGGGCAGCCATGGGGACCTGCTCACACGGGGTCCACTCCCTGCTACCTCCACACCCGCTCTCCCTCAGGTCCCCTCCCCAGCCCTTCTCACCGGCTTGACGCCAGCTCAGCCTTCCCCAGCAAAGCCCCCAGCCCCATCCCAGACTCCCTCTGAGCTCTGGTGTACCTGTGAGGTCTGACCCCCACTTCCCCAGCAGGCACATGTCTGCTCAGCCCTGGGGCCCTGCACGCGCCACACACCCGCAGAAGCAGTGAGTGAGGATGGGGCGCTACGCCCTCTCCTGATCCACAATGGCTCCTGCTTCCCTCCCACGTCCCTCCGGAGCATGAGTGGGGCAGGGACTGCTGCTGTGGTGATTGTCCAGGCCCAGGGGAGACCCAGCCTGGCTGCCCATGCTGGTGGCCGATGCGTGGCACTGACTGGCATCACTGGGCAGTCACCTCGTGGGCCTGGCTGGCAGGGTCCCAGCACTCTGGAGGGTGGGGGCGATGGAATAGCTGAGCTCAGCCCTCAGCCCATCCTCAGCCTTGCCCTCCTGCAAGGGAGTGTGGGTGCCTGGGGTCTGGGGGCACAGGCTCCCTGTCACCCTGCTGGCCTAGCCCAGGGCCCATCCCAGGTAAGGAGGGACACTCTGCAGTGGCCTGAGAGGAGGCACGGGTGGGGATGAGGGCCACTTCCCTCCGCCATAGATGTCCCACCCACATGAGCCCAGCCTGGGTGGCCCTGGGATCATGACTGCCGCATTCCTCTGGCCTAGATGGAGCAAGTCTCTTCTCCCCAAGCCACTGCGCATTTCCCCACCCTTGCCGGGGTTCTGGGAGCTGTGAAGCTTGGGCAAAGCGTTGCTTCTTGCCAAGGCCCCTCTCTGTATCTGCACAGGGGACTCCTCCCTGCCCAATGGGCCCAGTAGCTGGGCAGCTTGCAAGCCGCACAGGCCCCAAGACCCCAAGGTGGTACCAAGTGCCAAGCCCCAGACCCCCTTGTGGGAAGACTTCACAGCATTCAACCCAGGACCTTGAGACCCTGAGACCCCCATCCAGGCCTGGAGACAATGGGCAGCCCCTTGAAAGGCCAAGAAGCAGAGGCCAGGAGCTGGGAACAGCAGGAGCGGGGAAGGCCGACTGTCTCCTTCACACTGCTCCCTCTTGAGCTCACTGGGACGACTCTGCCAGCAGGACGGGCTGGGCCAAGTGGCCTCTGGGAGCAGAATTCCCTGTGCACCCCGCCCTGTGTCAGGCGGGGAGCGCTGCCTTGGCTTACCAGTATGAGCGGAGGAGGTTCAGGAGCACGATGGAGCCGCCCAGGGCGTAGCAGGCCAGGTGTGGGGAGCCGAAGGCCCTGCTCAGCTTGCGGGTTCTGTGTTCCCATCTTGCAACCTGCATAGCGGGAGGAGAACAGAGCGAGGCGTGAGATGTGTGCTGGGGGAGCAAGCCTCCCTCTGTGTACCCCGGCTCCGAGGCCCCCATTCCAAGGAAGGAGGGTTACAGGGAGCAGCTGCCGCACGCGCAGCCCAGGCACGGTCATGCCTTGGAGCAGTTCCGAGGGATTTCCACACTCCCTTAGTTCAGTCTGGAGAAGGCCCTTCTGGAAGCAACCCTTCAACCAAACACAGCCAGGAGCCCACCAAGAGGCAAAAGGAGACATCTGGCCACCAAGACTTGTCCCTGAGCCGACACACGGGGTCTGACTTCAGGCCCTGCCTCGGAGCTGCAGGGTCCCAGGAGGCCACAGCAGGCAGCGAGAGGCAGGACTGCCAACAGATGCCCCAGAACTGCAGAGGTGTGCAGGAGCGTGCCACCTCACACGCGCGGGAGTGTCCACCCAAGGGGCACCATGAAGAAAGGGAAACCGCTCACCCTCACCCGGAGCTCTGCCTGAGCATTCTCCCGCAGCATAGACTTCCGCACGTGTAACTTTAGCCACAGAACCCTTTTATTTTTTCAAACGAATGACATCAGGAATCTCAACATTCAACTGCTAATGGTGGAGAGAAGGACGCTCTTCCTGGCTCTCTGCTGCCCGCACCATCCGAGCTGCTGCCCGACATGTGGATGAATCATCCGAGGAAGGAGGGAGGGGTAGGGAGGGTGCAAAAAGGCAAACACACAGCCTGGGAGTCACCCGCGCGGCCCTGAGGATGAACACGCATGCGTGTGTGCATCTGTGCACACAGGGGCACTTCTAGGAGGCCGTGGGGCGTGGAGCCACAGATCTCCATCATGGCCCCAACGATGACCCACCTTGCCTTCCCTAATGGACCTGCCTTTCCTGGCAGAGAGATTAACAATGATTTGCCCCAAGGCCACTGACCCTCTGCCAGCCCAGCCCTGTGCCCGGATCTCCTTGGCAGGGGCAGGCACTGGAGCGATGGGTGGGGAGCCTACAGGAAGGAGAGGGTGGGAGGTGGCTCCTTCCACCTAGCTGTTGGCACCCCTGCCCCAGTCTTGCAGAAGCTGTGCAAGCCCCTTGTCCCAGTCTAAACGGGTGGCCTCTGTGGACCCTGTGGAAAGCGCAAAAGTCCTGTCTCAAGAGGAAGGAGGAACAAACCAGGAGGGGAGGAGAGAGGGAGGTGCTGGGAATGAGTGGGGAGCCCAATGCCCAGAGGCCTGCAGTGGGCACCTAGGCCACCATGGGACCCAGGGCCATGCACTTCACACTCCTCAGGGACACTTTGTGGTTTATTTTTTTGACTTTTGAGATAAAACTCAAAGTGATTTTTAGTGGTGCAACCATCACCACTATCTAAGTCCAGAACATTTCCATCACCCCAAAAGAAACCCCAGCCCCATTAGCAGTCACCCCCATTTCCACCCCTCCCCAGTCCTAGGAAATACTAATCCACTTTCTGTCTCTATGGATTTGCTTATTTGGGATATTTCATAGAAACAGAATCATACAACATACAGTCTTTTGTGTCTGGCTCCGTTCACTTTGCATAACACCGTCAGGATTCATCCAGACCACCACACGTACGTGTGCTTCGTTCCTCGTTGTGGCGGAATGTGACTCCATTACGTAGAGACACTGCATGTCCTCTATCCAGTCGGCAGTTGATGGACACTGGGTTTTTCCTACCTTTTGGCTATTATGAACAGCGCTGCTGTGAACGACCTTGCACAGGGTGTCTGTGACACGTGTTTCCATTTCTCTTGGGCACATACCTAGGGGTGGAATTGCTGGGTCACACGGTGACTCTGTTTTTAATTTATTGAAGAACTGCCAAAGTGTTTTCCAGAGTGGATGGGCCACTTCGCATCCCCAAGAGCAACACACGAGGGTTCCAGCTTCTCCACATCCTCCCCAGCATGTGTTCTCCTTCATTTTTCAAAATTACAGCCATTCCAGTGGGTGTCAAGTGGTATCTTGTGGAGGCTTTGGTTTGCATTTCCCTCGTGACGGGTGGTGTTACGCATCTCTCCATGCACTCGTTGGCCATGTGTGGGCCTCTCTGGACAAAGGTTAATACCTATGCAAGTCCTCTGACCGTTTTTATATTTGGGTTTATTGCCTTTATGTTGTTGAGTTGTACACATTCTTTCTTCATATATTCTGACACTAGATGTTTGCCGAATATGACTTGCACATATTTTCTCCTATTCTTTGATTGTCTTTTTACTTTCTTGATAATGTCCTTTAATGCACAAAAGCTTTATATTTTGCTGGGCCACTTCGTTTTGCCTTTTAACATCTAACCCCACTCAACCAACCTTCTTCCAGTGCCTACTGGTGTGTGAGGCATTGTGCCAAGTGCTAGAGGCCCCACAAATGAAGGAGCCACCAGGCCTGCCCCCAGGGAGCTCAGGGTCTGCCAGGATAACCCGTGGAGGTGAGTGTCTGTGCGCCTGTCCCTGCAGCACACAGATGGCCAGCAACCTTGCACTAAATCTGGAGGGTGTCCTGGGCAGTCCGACGTCAGTACAGCTTGTGGGGCCCACAAAGGGCTCCTTCTAGAGGCCCCTGGGAGACCCAGTCACCCTCCAAAGCAGCCAGACCGAGAGGTCAAGAGAGACCCCCTCAGAGTGACTGTCTGCCCATCAGGAAAGACCGGCAAGTGGCCCGAGGTGCCCAAGGCCAGTGGAAATAGCCTGGCATCAAACTTGAACCCCAGACTCGAGTTGCAGGGTGGACGTGAACGTCCAGGCACAGTCTGTGGAGGGAGCTCCAGGGCCAGAGCGGGGTCAGTGGTTGTCCATGAACCCCAGGGACAACCTCCGGACGCCAAGATACTAACAGTAAAAATGACAATAACCATCAATTCAGCATTTTGAATTTCAAAGTGCTTTCACTCGAGCTCACTTAATCCTCTAAACAAGCCTACGGAGTGGGTGACACTAACTGCACTTAGGCCCTCAGAGGCAACTTGCAGGTCACACAGCAGAATGAGGAGCAGCAAAGCCCCCCTCGGGCCCCTGGCCTAGGGCTCTGCTATCCACGGAGGCCCTGCTGGCCACCCACCTAAGGAGCCTCATTGGTTTCCAAAGGAGCTACCTTTGGCACGCCTCGTCCGCTGCATGTGACAGTGAGACCCGGCGCTAGAGCCCATTGACTTTTTTCTCTGAGTTGATGTGATGATGCTTTCAGGACACTGAAGTCTGTTAGAAATGACGTGAGGTGTCATGGCCCCATTCTGTGACCCTCCTGGTAGGCCCACGTCACAGTGAGGGCCCTGGACGCAGAGTCAGAGCCCAGGGGCCGGACACCCTGTGCCCACTTTATCCTCCACATCCTGGGAAGCCAGTTTCTCTCCTGAGACCAGTTTCCCAGTGGTAGGATGAGGATCCGAGGTCAGCAGCACCGAGCTGCTGGCACAGAAAGGAGCGCCACTCGGCAATACCAAGGCCGGTCGTCACAGCGTGCTGGGCACAGGCAGCCGGCACAAAGCGGCACGCGCTGCGTGGTTCCATGCATCCCAGTTATAGGAAGGTCTAGGACAGGCAAAACCAACCTGCGGTGACAGAAATTGGAGCAGAGGTTACCTGCAGCTGGGGGCCGTGGGGCAGGGGAGCCACTAGGCAGGGCACGAGGGGACTTTCGGGGCATGGAGATGTCCTGTCTGGTCCGGGCAGCGGTTACACAGGCGTAGGTCAAGACCAGTCAAACTGGACACTTCAAATGTGTGCATTTTCCTGTACGGACAACGTGCCTCGATAAAGCTGAGTTTAAAAATTGAATCTGGAAACAGATGGGAGCAGCTGCCAATGTCATGGACGCCACAGAACCGCTGGTCCCCTGAGCAGGTGTCGTTCCCTGCTGTAATGAGGTCCCCCGGACGTGTCCGAGGACACACCGCTGTGAAGGACCAGACCCCGGCCAGGGCCCCCACTCCTTCCACCGGCCCGTGTGCGCCATCACAGCACACCACCGGGCGCCGGGAGGGAAGCCCACTCCCAGCCACGCAGACTGGCACAGGGAGGCCCACACAAGCACTCGGGTCCAGGGCTCTGAGGCTGGGCTCCCTCCGCCGGCCCGAGGTGTTCTGGGGACAAAGGGACGTCCTTCCCAGAGGGCCCTGTCAGGACCCCTCCTCGGCCCCCCCACGGCCCCCAGCAGAGCCCGCCACACCTGCCCCTCGGCCTGGGAAAGGGTGAGTGACTAGTGCACTTTCAGAGCAATCCAGTGAAAACAGAAGGCTGCGGGGCCTGAGAGCAGCCTGGGCAGGAAAGAAAGCGAGGAAATAGCAAACGCCAGAATAACTACGCTCGGCCTCCGTTCTGGCTGCCTTTTTTCCCACTCGGCTATTATTTCCAGGCAATCGGTGAATCGGCAGCCAGGGGGATGCCCAGTAACTTCCCTGCCTGCCTGACAGCTCCGCCGTGCCCGCCTCGGGCGCCAGCTGCACCTTTCGCCAAGGAAGGGCCTAGCGTGGGTGCGGGCTGTGGCTGCAGGCCAGCCATTCCGAGCTGCAGGTGAACTGCCCCTGGCTTTTGCTCATCGTCTAGATTTCCAGAATCCCAAAGTGGGATTCACTTGCCCTTCACCCCCCATGCCCAAATTCCCTCTCCCTGGGGTTGCCAGACAAATACAGCCTCCGCCCCACTAAAGTGAAATGCCAGACAAATAAATCATTTTTTTATGTAAGTTGTCCCAAATGAGATCTTTCTTTTTTTAAGAGGCAAGGTCTCCCTATGTTGCCCAGGCCGGTCTCAAAGTCCCGGGCTCAAGCGATCCTCCCGTCTCAGCTTCCCGAGTAGCTGGGGCTACAGGTGTGAGCCACCAAGCCCAGCCGGGACCTCTCTGAATACTAAAACAATCATTTGTTGATCACCTGAAATTCAGCTGTAACCGGGGCCCTGTACTTGCCCCGGCTCAGCCTGGCAGCCTGGCCTCTCTCACCCTGACACAGGTCACCAGCTCAGCTCCGGCACAGGCAGGCCTC